CTCGATGTCCTGAATCATTTTGATTTTAGGGAAGAGCCAGAAGTCCCAGGGTGCCAGGTCCGGTGAATAAGGTGGATGAGGACACAACATAATGTTTTTATTTGACAGAAATTGCCATATACCAGAAATGATGTGTGACACAGAGCATTGTCATGATGGAGGATGATTTACAGCACACTTTAAAGCACACCTTCCCTTAACCATAGCTCACACCCAACTGCACCAAACAAGCTGAAAACTTGTCACACACTGTTACTAAGGTTCGATGTGTGGCTTCCTATATTGAAGATCCCTGCCTTTCTGTTGAATGGCACTCAGTAGCAGCATTCACCACCATATGTTTTGATCACAACAGAAAGGCTCCGTGTCACACATCGCTTCTGGTACAGCCATTTCTGTCAAATAAAAACATTAAGGTGTGTCCTCATCCACCTTATTCACCGGATCTGGTACCATGTGACTTCTGGCTCTTCCCCAAAGTCAAAATGACCATGAAAGGTAAACGTTTTGAATCGATTCAGGGCATTGAGGCAGCCACGACAGTGCAACTAAACACACTTACGAAGGAGGACTTCAAAGCTGCTTCAGAAAGTGGCAATAATGATGGGATAAGTATATTTAAAGTGAGGGGGAGTATTTTGAGTGGGATTAATGGCAATGTGTCTTTTACTGTGATTATTTTTTTTATTTAAACATTCACTGTATTATTTGATCATACCTCTTATACTGTGCTTTTTCCTCTACATACATACACTTTACAACTTTTTTTTGGCATATCCAATTGCCAGTATTACCACTCATGCACTTTGGGACCATTATTAAGTAAAATAAAGGTTTCTTGAACACAAGCACTGCTATACTGCGACAGTCCATTTGATAACCAAGATGGCTACTGAGTGACTAACGTGCAGGTAGCATTGTACAGTGTGGATGTGCTGGACAAAGGGATGATTGATGACCTGAGCGGGACATTGCAAGATTTCATCATGCTACTCAGAACAACATGCAATTTGAAACTTATGCATTGTTTATCCCTGGAATTTTCCATTTAATATTTTCAGACTGTAGGAGACCACAGGTAACTGCAAGCACAGGAAGTGAAACCACAGATGAGGGGTAACTACAGTACCCTCTGCCTCTAGTGCATCCACTTATACCTTTGCCTCTAAGTATCATCTATATGTCAGTGGATGCCCCAATTTATATCCCTCGCCTAAACCATTACTTAGAGCTATCAGACTCATATATACAGCTCCCTCCCGACATCTCAATTCATACATTTCTCAGACCTCACTAAGTTAACACATCTAAAACTGAACTCGTGGATCTTCTCTCACAAAAACGAACAAAACAACATAAATCATTATGGCCCAACCATCTAGTCAATTGCTTAATCCTAAAAGTTATCTTAACTTTTTCCTTTGCTTTTCAAACAGTCATTTATCTTTATTATGAAGAAATTAACGAATGCAGAAAACTAATCATAATTCCTCCTAATTCTGAAAGTGACATTATTAACATTAAAGAAAATCATTCTTGCTGTGTTTATACAGACAGAATAAATACATAGAAATAAATTATTTTATAAAAATGGAATCATAATGTAGTTTCCATTTTAAATTCTAGCTGAATTTTATAGCAAAGAAACCCTAGTGACACAGAAGGAATTGCTGAATTTCAAATAACTGCTTTTTTCACTCCAGTGGTGGTTATTTCCCCAGAGATTCCCCTAAGGTTAAGAAAATATTATGTAAAACATTTCAAGTGCTTTGAGCATTATAGTTCACTTTTAGGCAGTATTGATTGATTCTCTGCTATGAAAGATGAGGCCATTAATGCTCTCAATGGGCTCCCACCTTCTGTCTCCTGTGTTAGAAGGATGTTCTCCTGACATTTCCTAACCTGCCCTCATGAGTCAGAGATCCTATTATTTTCCTTACCCAGGAGGGAGATTCAACTAATCTGGGTTTCTCAGTGTAGTGACATGAGATATGCAGTACTTACTATACATGCCGGCAGAATAAGATTTATAATTTTAAAAATTTACTATTATCTCCTTTATTTACTCAGCCAATGTTTGAGTACTTATGCTCTGTGCTAGATGTGATGATGTGATGGTGTAATAATGAGTAAGATGTGGTGCTCATTCTCTTTAACCTCACTACCTAGTGAGGAACTGGATATTAAGAAAATGAAAAATGTGAGGTAATTAATGCAAAAAAGAAACACATCCTTATAATGCTCCCCACCTTCCCATTTTATTTTATTTTATTATTTTTTTATTTTTTCCATATCCCATGACTATGTATATATTCGATTATAGTTGACATACAATATTATATAACATCAGGTTCAGGTGTACAGTGCAGTGATCAAGCCTCTACCCCATCCATGATGCAAGACATGTGAC